AACTCACCGGATTAGGCCCATTTGATACAAGGTACAGTCAGCCCAAACCATCAGGACACAAGCCTCCTAATCCCAGTTCACTTCTTGGATCTGTGAACGAATTCAGAGCCCACGGCCACCTACAGATCACATTCCTATTCGAACACTGACAAAGTAGTCCACTATCACCCCGACTCCTCCAAGGTCCATGTCAGAGCCATACTTGGACTTCCTTCCATGCCAGGATAAGAGGATCAAAGGATATATCCCTAGAGGAAACGGATTGCTACGAGGACTCCCAATCCCACTATGATTGGGAGACCAGATAGTCACTGTTTAAACAGAGGTCAGCCCTCTCACAAGGCAGATTACACTACACCTTCAGACCCCAGAGTTCCCGCTTGAGAACTTCATATCACAGCCGTAGTCACAGTCCCTGACTAGACTTCTGGTAACCTCTCTACTCCCTAGCCCTCACTAAATTAGCCTCTTTCAGTCTTGCTGACTTGAGCGTCAGAGTGCCTATGGCAAACACTACCCCGGTGTTTTCCGTCGCTTCACGTTTGTTTCTCTACGTGTGCAGGTACAGTAGATCGCTAGTGGCCTCAACCTTACGGGATCAGACCCTCCTTCCGTATAGGTAGATTTTTACGTCTACAATAACTACTCTTATACGGTTTTGAATAATGGCATCGTTGGAAATGCAGCAAAATGAAAATTGCAAATGTTGTCCAAGTACAGTGTTTCTTCTCATGTATTGTTTGCATAGATATTAATTAAAATGTACTTGTTTTGCAGGTCATTAACCAAAAAAACGACACAAGCCAAGATGTCGTTTTAATTGCGACATGTTGAAATCTAACACGACACCTACTTAAATCGTTTAATGAAAACGACATAAAGTAACGTGTCGCTTCATTCAATCGCATTTGTGTAATACAACGTAGTAAAATAAATAGTGTCGTTTAATGGATCGAATATGTATGAAGAGGTACTAAACAATGCCGTGCTTTTTCGGTTTTCCAAACCGATGTGGAATTGGTGTCGTTAAGAAGGAATGACATTCGTCAGGCGATATTAAAGAGTTGTCGTGTCATGGTGTTGTAGTTCATAAATACGTAAGACTCATAACGATCATTCTTCAGGTGTCGTATATGAGAAACAACATAAAACTAGTGTTGTTTATGTTGTCAAACGTCAACATGATATTTGTGTCGTATTTAAGAGATGACGTCGATATATATATTGTTGTTTTTACTTAATATTAATACGACAGGAACTAAATGTCGTATTTCAGAAACAACCATTATGGTGTCGTTATACAGTTAGTTTATTTTTTTTGCAGACAGGGTGAGTACGACATTTTCTATGTGGGAGTATGATGATTTGAACCAGTGTTTTCTGACGGTGTTAGAGTACAAACATTGATGACTGTTATCAACTATCAAGTTTTTTTTAATAAGATTATTGTTGATTTATGAATTTATTTTAAAATTTTAGGAGATTACAACTATGGGCTTGCAACAGAAAAAATGTGCATAATGATTAGATAATGCTTTTTTTAAATAAAAAATAATAATTAATCCAACAATATCCGAGGACAAAAAACATAATGTAACATTTTAGGACCCTATTCCTTATTAAATTTATATACATGAAGAATAGACTAATCAACCAAGAAGCCGATGTGAATACTCTTCTTGTTTTTTCTTTTTTCTTTTTTCTTTTTCTTCTTTAAAAAATAAAATAAAATAAAAATAAAAATAAAAAAAAGGTTGAATGCCTATGTCACGACTGGTAGGTCTCCAGCCTTGGTTCATAATAGTGGACCTTTCTTAACAGAAACAGAAAACAATCTTATGGTAGGCAAAGAGATAAGAAGAAACGATAGCATACTTTTAATTTCTTTAATCTTAATTATTATTTCTTCGCTTTCTCTTTTCCTCTTCAGGTCATTTAATTGATTCATGTTTGAAGTCGAAGTTTCTTGGTCTCCCATTCAAACCTATAAAGAAAATATACTCACGAGGTTTCCCCAGCTTTCTTTCGGCTACAGTTTCTTATACTAGTAATCATAGTTTATTTAAAATGCATTTTTTGCCAATAATATAATGCAAAATTCTGATCATGCAATTGGCTTATAAGCGTGTTCAAACGTGCTTTGCTATTGCTTTTGCGAGAGAATATAAACCAGAAACTTCCTTTTCATCAAATGATTGTTAATATATTGAATATAATAAATAAATAAACCGACCGAGTAATTATTTAAATTAAGCAAACATATTTCGTGATGTTAATTGATATGTTCTTTTGATTAAAAAGGAATTATATCAAGTAAAATGATCCCATTACTTGAAAAATAACTAAATTTCATGGATAATTCACTTTTAAAATCTTGTCACATATATACTCTATCTTAAAAATTGATAGTCTAGAATACAAACGCTGTGATATCAATTCATATATATTTTTTGTTATTTTATTAAATGATCGTCTAGAATACAAATGATGTGATTAATTGATATGTTTTTTATCTTAATTTTTCCTAATGTAGACCTATTTATGAGACATATCTAATTAATGATGTTATTCAGATAAATTTATTTAATATGAAATATCACACTCATAACATTGGATTTTTAATATTTTATGTTAAACTTATTAAAGAAAAAAATAATTTAGGGTTATTAGAAATAAAATGTTTCATTACAAAAACCCATTTAAATAATTTTTTTTTTTTTTTTGTTTGGACAAAACATTAAATATAGAATGCGTGATGGAATTGTCATTTTAATTTTTCTACATTAAAAGTGGGTAAACTATATCGACTCAAATATTTTACACTAATTTGTAGTCATTAATTCATCATAATCCAATAATTTGGGACAAAAATGAACTAATTTCAACTTCCTATATAACATCTATTGGATTATAGTATATCCATGATCAATAATTTGTGTCCCAATTTAGATCAAACTTTTAAGTTGTTATACCATAATGCTTTGAAATACCTTTTACATATATTGAATTATGCAAAAAATATTTACAATTTTTAATTAATAAAGCATAAAATAATCTTGAAAATGATAGAAAAAAGTTGTGTTCTTAATCTTAAAAACATATTTCAAACCAATAAAAAGGTTTAAAATGCCAGCAATTACTTTGCAACCTAAGGATAAAATGTCGTGAATTATTTAAATTAAGTAGTTTGACGGGAGAAATCAAATATATTTGAGTCTTATTGATAAAATTGGGAAAAGAAGAAGAAGAAGAAGAAGAAGAAGAAGAAGAAGAAGGGGGACAAGAAAACATAAGGCTTTTGGGAAGTTGAGTGATGGATTAAGAGAATAAAAATGTTGTCCTATCTTAGTAAAGAAAAACCTGTTAAAAGGGAAAAGTATGGATTGCCCTAAAGGAAAAGTATGTCACTCTCCAACTCATCCCATTTTGCTACGTGGATATTCTCTTTACTTCACATGCTAAAGCTGGTCCCACATGACCCTCTTCCCCGTAGTCTCTCAATTCCTCGCCCTCGCTTTTCTTTATTCATCTATATTATTATCACCCCTTAGTTGCTCCATTCACAGACTTTGGAATGAATAATACTATTATATCAAGTATTATGTTAACGATTTTCAACTTAAATTCTGACGATAAATTTATTACGAATATTGAATTTGATAAGTATTTTTTTGGGCTATTTGAAAAAATTCTAAAGTATTACATTACAATGGCTAGATTGATGATATATACATCAATTAATCATCACTTAATTTTATTTGGTTTAATGAATAGATATAGTTATTCTATTGTAATCCAATGAACTTCATAGTGAAATTGAAAGTAATATTTTTATGTCACCTTAACAACTTCTTTAACCATTATTATATATAAAAAAAATAAACTTTTAATTATAATTCGAAATTTTTCTCATGATAAATTGTTCTTCTTGTATGATAAAGTTTATAATATAATGGAACTAAGTTATCAAATCATATTGTTATTAGTACTTTTTTTTTTTGGTTTAATATATTTATTTTGACAAAATGCAATACTTTCTTTCTAATCAATTTGTTTGAAAATTTCTAAAGAACAAAAAAGTTGGAGATTCTACTAGACTTGGTTGTTGTCATGGAATTAGTAGGTTCCATTATTCCTCTTTTTAACTTTTACTAGTACCTTGTAATTCACAAAGTTCCACTCAAAATTTATGGAGTCTAATTATCACATTTCCAATGATTTAATTAAAAAGAACATATATTTTTTTTATCTCATATTTGATGTCACAATTTATAATTAAAGATTCATTGATTATGAATTGTTGCGTAAATAAAAAATATCAATGTTAAAGATTCATTAATCGCATATATTATATAGACCAAATCATCTATTCCATTTAAAAAAAAAAAAAAAAAAAAAAGCAATCAATCTTAACACAGCGAGATATATATAAATTAGTACCAATTAGAGAGCCGATCACCCAAGACAAAAAGAAAAGATGGAGAAGGAGAAGATCTATAAAGAATGATATTACTTTAAAGAATACTATAATGATCGGCGATTAAAATGGATAGAGTGCATATATAGGTAAGGAAAGGAAATATAAGCACGTGGAAAGTGAGAAAATTTTCAGTTAAAAACGCCGCCGAAATTCGTTGTCCACAGCTGATCGTTAATGTAGATACCTGTTCTTACATGTGAAGGCGGGAAATGTATCGAATCAGGTTTAACCACGTGGATATCTTATTCCAAGAAAGGACATGTCCGAAGCATCGGATAATTGGAGAGAGAATGAGACAAAAATTATTTTATTAATTAACAAATTTTGTTCAACCAAAGAAAGAGCTAGAGATGAGTGTTGAGCTTGAAAGAAAAGATAACAAGAATCATTGATGAGAAAGGAAGGACCAAAAGATAAAGAGGCTAAGGAATTTAGGGGGTGGCAGCCTCCCCAATTGCTTTGCTTTTTCTACCTTTTTTTCTCATCAAAACCCCCCGAACATTTTTATCTTTGCATATCCCTGAGCTCTCTCTCTCTCTCTCTCAATTCAGTTCTCTCTCCCTTTGAACTTTCTTTTGATTAAGGTTGGTTCTCTCCCTCCCTCCCTTTCAAATTTCAATGCTTAGATTGATAACTAATTCTATAAGTGTTTTGTGCAGTTGATTGTAAAGATTAATCCTTGTTAATAGAGGCTGGTTTCTTTGTTTTTGGTTACGAGACCGGTCACCCGAATCTTTTATATATCAACATCAGAAGAAGTTCACCAAACAGATACATACATGGCTCCTGTTTCATTGCCTCCTGGCTTTCGTTTCCATCCAACAGACGAGGAACTCGTCGCCTATTATCTCAAGAGAAAAATCAATGGTCGTAGGATTGAATTAGAGATCATCCCTGAAGTTGATCTCTACAAGTGTGAACCTTGGGACTTACCAGGTATTTTCCTTTTCGCATTGCCTTCATCATTCTGAGTTTGATTTTTGAAAGAAAATTAACAATGCTGTAGCTTGTTACTCACTAGGTTGTCGGTTCAAAACTTTAATTCAATTGGTTAATTAAAATCCTCTCCAAGATATCTATAAAATACTCAGAAGAATTACACGAAAAGGAAAGTATAAAGAATATTATCTAGAAATGGCTACGTAATATGAAACTTCTAATCAGTAATCTCAACACCTAAGCCTTCTGTCGAGAACCTGTTACTCATGCATTAAATTAAGAACTCCACAGAACTTTTAAAAAAGTTAAAATAGCATGGATTTTCTTTTTGTTTGATTGTTATTCTCGTACATGTTTATACAAATTAATTACATGCTTTATAATTAGTCAAATATCTTAAACTTTTGCATGAAATATCTTAAGTACAATCAGAAACTATAAGGAACAGGTCCCACGAAGATGTTTTCTTTCTTTTCAATTTATTTTTCTTCGGTTGCTTTCTCTTGAGGTAATGTATAAAACAAGCTGCATGAAAGACCAAGTCAAAAAGTACGTGCGAATTAAAGTATTACTTTGTTGCGAGAGATGAGTTTCAAGCTATGCTTTGCATCTCTCTCATAAATTTTATAACACTCGTCAATATTATAATAATTTATCTCTTTTAATATAATTACTTTTGAATTACCGTATAGTTTCCTTGGAGTAGAGGTTTCATAGTCTTTATGTATTTCCTATGATTTATTACGTTTATATTATGAATTATATCAATATTCTGTTTTCCACTTAAAAATATATTTTTTTTTTTCCTTCTAGGCATTAGTTTCAGGTAAAAATGGCAAGATTTTGGTACAGCTCCAACAATCAAATATGCAAATTTAATTTAATGTAGTTTAGTTCATTTTCTTTTGAATTTTTAAAATTTAAAGAAGTGAATTAAAATATATATGCAGGGAAGTCATTATTACCCAGCAAAGACCTGGAGTGGTATTTCTTCAGTCCTCGTGATCGCAAGTACCCCAATGGATCAAGAACAAATCGTGCAACCAAAGCTGGATATTGGAAGGCCACAGGGAAAGATAGAAAAGTGAACTCTCAGACTCGTTCTGTGGGCATGAAGAAAACCCTAGTTTACTATCGAGGGAGAGCCCCACATGGCATTCGGACTCACTGGGTCATGCATGAATATCGCCTTGATGAGCGAGAATGTGAAACTGATTCAGGTTTGCAGGTGAGCTTTTTTTTGCTTTTCTTTAATTTACTTAAATTCTTATTATTCTCTAACATAACCAGTGCATGAAAGGGACGGAGTCATTAAGGGCTGAGTGGTGGCTCATGCTCCCGCTGATCTTAAAAATTTAAGTTAATCCCCTTCTATTTTGTATTTGTAACAGAAGTCCCATTTCTTCTATGAAAGTACCATTTTTCCATGTTTTGATTTTTTTTCTTCAACCTCCAATATCTTAAAAGTTTTGATTTTTTTTTTTTTTCACTCTTATGATTGAATGTAGTTTACATCAATATTAACAACCACAATATTTTATAATTTCAATTATTTTTTTCTCTTATGACTAAATTCTTCACCTATACAAAATAGATGTATTGGTTGGTGTCTCGAGTTTCAAATTCTATATATGGTCAAATATTTGTACTTTAGATATTTCAAATTTCTTTTAATTTGCCCCCAGTGAACAAAATCCTGACTCCATCACTCAGTTATGAATTATTTTCTTTGATCAATATTAAACTAATAAATTCATTTTTATTAATATTTTGTTTAATCCTTTCCAGGATGCATATGCTCTTTGTCGTGTGTTCAAGAAGAGTGCAATTGCTCCGAAGGTTGGGGAGCATTATGCTCCTACAACTAGTAATCAAATGATGAACGAACATTCTTCCGGGGACATTGGTTTGTATTCAGAGAGACGATGCGATGGTTTTGATAGCTCAGGATATCCAATGGCATATGGAACATGTTTACCCAGCAATGCCAATGGATCATCAATTGATCTCAGTGGGACACAAGACGGAAAATGGACACAGTTCTTATCAGATGAGGTGCTTGGCTATACAAGTCCATTGTCAAATTATGGAACCACTTCATACCATCCTTCCAAGGTAAATTGTTTTGGTGAAACAATTTTCTAAAGTTGAAATATTAATAGCTCTTCTCTAATCTAAACATTCTAAAATTTTTAACCTGCGAATCAAAGGTAAGCAATTAATCATTTATTTTACAAACCCAACAATCAAAAGTGAGTGAGTAAAGGCTGACCTTTGATCCGTATGTTAAAAATTTCAGAACATTAGCCTCGAAGAATTATATCCTACAATAATAAAATGTGAAATTGATTTTTTTTACAGATTGATATAGCGATAGAGTGTGCAAAGCTGCAACATCGGCTCTCGTTGCCTCCATTGGAGGTGGAAGATTTCTCTCAAGTCGGCTTCACGGACTTCAAAATGCCGCACTCGCACTCAACTTCCTCACTGGGAGGCACAAATGAGGGAAATATACTGCAGGAAATTCTTTCAGTTTCTCATACATCACAACAACTCATCAATCAGTCCAACCTTCAAGATACATGGGGTGGAAATTACGCCCATGCTGATGGTTTTAGTTTTATAACTGGGGAAGATAATCATTATAATCCAAGTAATGATATGAGTTGTGTCAGATATAATGACAAGTCATGGGAAGATCTGAATACTAGGTCAATAGAAATCGGAGACTTGGATGAAGAAATCAAGCCAGAGAGGATGGTGGAGAATTTGAGATGGGTAGGAATGTCCAAGGATTTGGAGAAGGTATGTTTACCTTAAAATTCTATCTTTTTTCATTAATTTGATAAAAATATTATATTAAATTAACGTACAAATATATATATCACATCTATACTAAACAATAAAATTATGTTACATATATATTTATTTTATATGTATTCTATTTTTTCTAATTATTGTACTGATTAATAATGCTTGAAGTGAATGGATATAACAGGATTTTATAAAATGAATGTATGAATCATGAAATAATAATAATTTTTTCATTAATTAAAATTTCTCATCGAGTTTTTTTTTTCCTTTGTCGCAGAGTTTTATGGAAGAGCAGAAGGTTGTTCCCATAGAAAATATTTCAAGTTTCCAAAGAACAGAAGTTCATGAAGCTCAAGGTATTGCTATATATAATAATTAATTAATGCATCTTACACCTTCCTTTCTATGTTGGCATAAAATTTTTCTCGTTTTCTAATTTGAAAAGTTCCTTACGTTCAGGTGAAACTTCGCATAATAGCTGTTTGGGATTCAATGACTCAGAAATAAATGATTTTTCACTTGGGTTCATCGTCGATGAACCCAATGGGAACAATCTAGATCATGAAGACATTGCAGATGGATTTGCAAGTTCACCAAGCTTTGAGGTGGTCGAGGAAATTAAGGTGAATCATGGAATGTTTGTTTCGACCCGCCAAGTAGCAGACACATTCTTTCACCAAATAGTGCCTTCGCAGACAGTTCAAGTCCACCTTAACCCAGTGATCACAAACAACTCATCAATAGAGAAGGTTGAGAAACAATTCATTAGGCATGAGAAACCAGGCTCTTTCTTCAGAAAGTTCACCAAATTCATGAAGCTATGGAAGGAACTAGCAATTGCAGTTGTCTGTGTGGTGGCATTTGATCTCTTAATGCTTCTTTTTCATGTTGGGGAAAGTGAGAAATTGATGGATGGCTTCACTGTAAGTGGTAGTGTGAAAGATGAAGGCTGCTCTAACGATTTGAAGGTGATGAAGAAAAAGCCAGCGGGAGATAAAAATTTCTTTGTTAATGTAAGGAGCGGTGGGCATCATTCTATTGTATTTTTGAAGAAATTAGGGCTTTTCCTCACCATTACCTTGGCTTTATGTACCATGTGGGCAACAGCTTAGTTACCTGATCTTGAGTACTGTTGACATCCTTGTTTGTTTTACTCCTAACTGTAGTTGATAATTTTGGGAAGGGATAAGATGAACCTTCTCCAAAATTGGAGGCTGATCATCTTAATTAATACTTGTGTTGTATACTGATACCTTAATTGAATTATTGTATTTTAATGGATATTTTAATAAAAATTCATATTTTAAAGCTACTGTATCTTTTATTTACTGAATGCAAACTGATCATTATACACCATAATCTATAAATTCTGTCAATTTGTGTTTCTTTTCCATCCAGGGATATCATTCTAAACTCCTTGAGGTTAGCCTAAAAGCCAATAACCCCAAGTTTTGAATCACATTCCAACCATACGAACGAGCAACCGCGCACACACACACACACACATATATATATGCGGTGCAATAACTATAATCATCAATGCGGAGCGGAATGAAGTTTGAGTGAAGTTTGGATACAAAACGAAGCCACAAAGCAGCATGGCAATCTCCTTTCTTGATCATTGAGTCGTAGATTTATGTCGCGAATCACCTGTATTAATGTTAGGGCCAAAAATCGTCCTTGGCCCAAATAGGAGAACGGGACTAAATGAGGAAGAGACCAAGCCCAATCCCGATGTGGCCCCATCCGGATTAGGCCCATTTTATACGAGATACAGTCGACCCAAACCATCCGGGCACAAGCCTCCCAATCCTAGTTCACTTCCTGGACCTATGAGCGAGTTCAGAGCCCACGACACCACACAGATCACCTTCCTAATCGGGATCAATCTCTTATTCGAGGTTACTTTCCTGTTCGGATCACTTTCCTACTCGAACACTGGTAAGACAGCTCACCACAACCCTAATTCCTCTAGGGTTCGCATCAGAGTTACATTAGGACTCCTACTCCCATCAGGATTGGGAGACCAGACAATCACTATATAAGCAGAGGTCAGCCCTCTCACAAGGCACATTACATTACACCTTCACACCCGAAGCTCTTACTTGAGAGCTTCACATCACTGCCGTAGTCACAGTACCCGACTAGACTTCGGGTAACCTCTCTACAACCTAACCCTTACTATACTAGCTTCTTTCAGCCTTGCTGACTTGAGCGTCGAAATGCCTACGGCCAACACCACCCTGGTGTTTCCCGTTCGCTTCACGCATTTGTTTCTCTACATGTACAGGTGCAGCGAATCGCTAATGGCCTCAACCTCACGGGATCAGACCCCCCTTCCATACAGGTAAATTTTTACGTCTACAGTTTGGTGCCCACCGTGGGGCCTCTAGCAATCATTTGGCTCGGCGAACCTTGCTACATAGAGGAATTTTCTATGGCTGACCCTTCAGACAACACTAACTCTGACCTCGAGGCCAGACTGGAGGCTCTGACTGCTCTCATGCAACAAAATTCAGACAAGGTGGCCGCACTGGAAGCCGAGAACAATGCAATCCGGACCAAAAACGCATCCATCAGGGCCGAAAACCAGTCTCTTAAAGAAAAGGTGAGTTAGTTCTATGATCTGGACCAGTCTCTTAAAGAGAAGGTGAGTTAGTTCTATGATCTGGAGCTTCTGCCTTGCAGGTACCTCCCAATCGATTTTGCACCCCAGTTCCATCCATGTAACCTCTCCAAACCCCAGAGCATAGATCCTCGGCCTCCGGTAAAAGGCCACATCCATTAAGTTCATCGGTGGTCGACGACTTGATCCTGACTCATGGAGGAAAGGATCTGCCAATAGAACCCCATTCATCCGATCCACCCGAGTCTCAAGATCAAGACGCCCAAGAGACAAAGAGCCCACACCCGCAAGACCAACCCATTCTTACCATCCAGCCTCACCTCCACTCAACCACCCCTGCACAAACACCATTCGGCTCGGCTCGGCTCACCCTCACGGATTGAACAGCCAACCCAACCAAACTATAGCACTCGAGCCCACCCATCCTGACGGACAGAACAAATATCAAACAACCCCTCTGACCATTCATGTAGGGCGAAACACCAGATCAATTACCATGGGAGTCATTCGAGCAGAGGGAATGAACGGAGATTCAGGTTACCAGGGTGTGCACGAAGGAATGATCCACCAGACTACACCGCGCGGGATGACCCAACGAAATATGCCAAGGACGAATGCAATGGCTGACCTAGTTAAATGGGATGACCTAGTGGTATCCCCCTCTCCTATGGAACAGGTACTGGCCAAGAGGTTGGCTGATGTAGAGGCAGTGATAAGGCGCATCCTAGGAATGTCGGTCCTGACCAAGAAGAGCAGGCCTCACTGTACGTTACGCAGATTCACCCTTTGTGGACGAAATCGCCCTAGCCGACATGCCCCAGAAGTTTACTATTCCCAGCATAAAACCCTACGATGGCACAACCGACCTAGATGATCACATAGCCTCGTACAAGCAGCAGATGTTCACTGTCTCAATACCCTGAGCGTTGAGGGAAGCCTGCATGTGTAAGAGTTTTGGTTCAAGCTTATCCGGTCCAACACTCCAGTGGTACACAAATCTCCCGAAAGGTTCCATCGACTCATTCGCTCAGCTCACCGACACCTTTGTGGAGCAGTTCACCAGCAGCAAAAAACTCGAGAAGCTGTCGGCCGATCTATATAGAGTATACCAGAGGAGGGGAGAGCCACTGAGAAAGTATGTCAGCAGATTCAACAAATAGAAGATTTCCATCCCTTCCTGTAACCCTAAGACAACCGTAGATGCCTTCAAAAAAAGTCTCCTCCTGGATGGTGAACTATACAAAGAACTGACAAAGCTAGGTTACACCACGATGGAAGACGCCTTGGCCAGAGCAACGATTTAAATAAGGTGGGAGGAAGATGAGATGAATCAGGCAATTCACACCAGGTATGACTGAATGCAGAACGACAGGAGGCCAGAGCTCAGATCGATTGTAGGCCCTACAAGATCACCAAAGAAGCAGGGAAATGTGCCTACCTGCTCTAAACTCCCAAAGGCAAAGACATTAGCAACAGTTAGAACGCAATCCATCCCACACGCTACTACTTTTAGGTGAAATCAATCAAAATATTTGTTGTCTTTTCATTTTTTATTTAAAAAGGATGAGTGGGCCTATCCACCGCCTTCATAGACAGTCGGTCTCACGACCTGAATTCAATGAAGCATTACTTAGCAGCTGACACCTTCGAATCAGGCCTGCCCAATTCATGAGTTTTCACACTTCGGATCGACCCTGCTTGATCAAATGTTTGTTACACCTTCGGATCGACCCTGCTCGATCCATGTAATTACACCTTCGGATCGACCTTGCTCGATCTACGGATTTACATCCTCGAAATAGACCCTGCTTGATCAAATGTTAATTACACCTTTGGATCGACCCTGCTCAATCCATGGATTTGCATCTTCAGATCGACACTGCTCTATCAAATGTTTGTTACACCTTCGGATCGACCTTGCTCGATCCACCGATTTGCATCTTCAGTCGACCCTACTCAATCAAATATTAATTATACCTTCGGATCGACCATGCTTGATCCACGGATTTACATCTTCAGATCGACCCTACTCGATCAAATGTTTGTTACACCTTCAGATTGACCCTGGTTGATCCACGGATTTACATCTTCGAAATCAACCCTGCTCGATCAAATGTTAATTACACCTTTGATTCGACCCTGCACGATCCACGGATTTGCATCATCAGATCGACTCTGCTCGATCAAATGTTTGTTACACCTTCGGATCGACCCTGCTCGATCCATATAATTACACCTTCGGATTGGCCCTACTCGATCCACGGATTTACATCTTCAGATTAACCATACTCAATCAAATGTTAATTACACCTTCGGATCGACCTTGCTCGATCCATGGATTTACATCTTCAGATCGACCCTACTCGATCAAATGTTCGTTACACCTTCGAATCGACCCTTCTCGATCCACGGATTTACACCTTCAGATCGACCCTACTCGATTCATGAATTTTTTACACCTTCGGGTCGACCCTGCTCGACCCATGGATTTACACCTTTGGGTCGACCCTGCTCGACCAACGGATTTACACCTTCGGATCGACCCTGCTTGATCCACGAATTTATACCTTCGGATCGACCCTGGCTGATCCACGTACTTACACCTTCAAATCGACCCTGCTCGATCCATAGTTTCACCTTCGGATCGGCCTTGCACATTGGTTTACACATTGGTTTTGGTTTACACATTGGTGAATCTATGGAGAAAAGGGATTATGATTAATCTATGGAGAAAAGGGATTTGTTGTTTTGCCTTTGAATTCTGACATTTGATTGAAAATAAGACGATGAGAATGATGGTTAATATACAAAATACTCACATTTCACTTTTAATTTGTTTTAACCTTAATATGTTAAAATAGATAATCTGTTATAAATTTTTTTAAAATAAAAAAGGAAAATGAAAACAAATTGTACTAAAACTCTCTAGCTTTCCCTCTCAAACCAAACAAGTGTCCAAGATGACCCTACAAAGTAAACGTGTTGACTGAAATAAGGCTTAGCCTTTGGTTTGGTTACGTTTTTTGGGTGTGTTCATGTTTTAAAATGGTTGTAATATTTATGATCATCAATTCATATGGTTTTGCATTACATAAATGAAGAAAGACTCGTTATAACTAATTGTAAAAGTACATAAAATAAATTAACTTTGAAGTGAGGGGCAGGGCGCCCACAATTTAACCAACGAAGTTTCTTTTTTGTTATTATTTCAATGATTGGAAAGTGGAAGAAACATTTAATTTAATCTTTTATTTGTTATTCAAGATGTTAATGATGCTTAAGGACTTTTTTCCCTTTCCATTTTCCATGTCAAAACTAAACTTCGGGTTTGTTTTGTGGGTTTAGGTGTTTTTGTTTTGGTTTACAGATTGGTGGGTGTTTTATGTTATTTTATGATTGCTAGGGTAGCCTAAGGATAATTGTCTTTCCTTGGACGTATAAATTAAGGGGTAGTTTTAGACTGTCTAATTTGAGGTTTAAGTAAAGACTTACATAATGTGTGTTAAATTGTTTTATACTGAAAATAATTATACGATGATGGATGAACTATGTTAAAAATATTTCAAATATTAAATTCTCATTTATTTTCTTTAAGCTATGAAATTGATTTGTTCTTACAAAACCAAATTTTTTTAGAAACCCTAATTGTTAAAATAAATTGATTTATCTTAAAATTTCAAAT